TTTAAAACTTTTTAACACGTAAGAGCCATATTTTGACTTTTTATAAATATGCGTATATACATAAATATGAATTGTGTATTAGTTGAAGCCACATACGAACTTTTTCATGCATGTATTTTGTTAAGCTTGATTACAGTCTAATTTTTATTTTAATTATTATACAATTTATATTTTTAAAAAAATCTTTATATATTCTTAGTGTAGTGAAATGGTTGGTACGCCCGCACATACGTGCCAACCATTTATTCGCTCTTATGAATAAGTAAAAATGGTAAAAACTATTTCATTTTAATTTGCAATAAATCAAGAAAAATATATACTTAAAATATATTATATATGTATTTGTAAATTCGTATTATGTAAGACGCAAAAAAACATATTGTAGATTGTGTAAGAAAAAATAAAGCATATTATAGAAATATTCAAAAAATATTATAAGAATTTAATTATTATTTAATATAACTTTTTATTTGTGATTATATATTCTTACAAGCATTATAAAAATAAAAAATTTTAAAATATATTGATTTCAGAAAGAAATTTTTGAAATATTAAAACAATATATATACAAACATATCAATGTTTAAAAAAAAATAATCAATACATAAATATTACAATTAACTATATATATCAAAAAACTTATACCCGCACATATGTGCCGGCCAACCACCTAGTTTTACATGTATTTCACAAGTGCAGCTAGCTTTGTGTAAAAGTTGAAGCACTACAAACTCCAACGGCTGATGATGCTCAAACAATGCTTTCACTTTGTCCCCAAAGTAGAACCATTCCCAGCTTCTTTCTCACAGACTCGGTGTTCTTTATAAAGCTTCTTCCTGTGAAATTGTAGATGGAAATGAGGCTGAAGGAAGGCAGTGAGAGATTATGAGATCTTAAGCCAAAACTACCATATGATAAAGCCATGCATTGCTAAATATTTGTCTCAAGCTCAAGTTGCATTGAAGCAATATGATAAAGCCATGCATTAAACACTACCATATGATAAAGCCATCCAATGTGATAATTGTGGTGAAACTGAAACTGACTAAATTATGTTTTGCTTACGTTGTTTTTTTTAATATCGAATTAATGATTATGAGAGAAAAGCAGGTAGGTGATCATGAATGTTTTAATTAACACATGTTGAATGTGAGGTCGCAGCCACCAATAAACTGTTCAAGCACTATTATCCAATTCTTTAGCTACCTTAGATTTACGAAGATTATAATTGAATCAGTCAAATGTTTGTATTAACCTATAGTTTAAAACAAATAATTTAATAGACAGATTAGACTTTATACGTACCCAGTAACCCCGGACCTGGACTATATACTTGAAAGTAAATTTGATCAAACTTAAAAATGGTGAAAGAATGAATAATCAAGAGTTAAATTATTTAGCCACCAGTCTACCAACTTTCTATAGTTTCGACAATATTTACCACGTGTGCAAGAAGCGCATCGTTATATATGTGAGTCGGAAAAAGGTAAAGAAAATATGATTTCGTGGCAGCTTCGGGTCAAGAATCAAGATTAGTCTGGTCAGCTCTATAATTAGTATTTAATGAGTCAGCGAATGTAAATCTTTTATAATATAAACGCAATGAAATGCATTGCGTCTATTTTCATTCCTATGATCCCCAGTTACAGAATACCGATTTAGTTCCTCTTATAATTACAATATAGTTTTCGGATCATTGTCAATGAAAAATATGATGATATCGTTTCCAATACTATAATATCTTTTAATACTTAATCATTGTCAATATGATCACATTGTTTCCAACACTATAATACCTTTTTAATGCTTATCTTTGATTCTAGTATTTAGGCACATGATATACTTTTTTACCGTTTTTCTTGTTGGTCGAGTGACATACTTTTTACCATCACAATAATAAATTATCAATTGGAATTTTATAATTCATTGTTATATACATATTTTTTTAAGTGAGGTCTATCATATTATTAATTGAGAAACAAGTTGGGTTGTGGTTGAGAGTTATGATGGTTGATTACTCTTTGCCCATTATATGAAAAGATTTTATTTATCCTTAATAAAATTAACAAATTAATATAATCTAATTTTTTAAGTAATTTTCGTTTTTTTTATCTAGATTTTCAAATTCGAGTTTATATCATAAAAATATTTAGTTTACTAAAAAAAGATAACTAGCATAAATCACAAAAAATCGATCCTATTACTTTTTTAAACTAATTTTAATTTGATTATTTAACCTACTGATATTTTTGACTAACCTAATTGATTTATATGGCCACAAGTAAAACCCCAAATCCTTTAAACTTTTTCGAAACTCTGTATGTATTAAAACAAAGTTTTCAAAACAATCTAGATCAATCGACGATCGTATGTCTCTCTTTACAATTTTATTTTTAGATTTCTAATCTTTTTTCAATAAAACAGTCGTAGAAGATTCGAAGTTACGGTTTTATTGAGAGTTTTGTTTGATGCAACAAAACAACAAAGCATACATATAAATTTTTATTAGATAATATAAAAGATATTAAAAAATAAGATATATATAATATTTTGCTTTATCATAAAAAAATATACTCATGGAAATTATATTTTTTAAATATATTAATTTTGATTTCGAATAATTATAAAATCTGATTTTTTCATCTATAAATAAATTAACATTGTTAATTATAAAAAAATTAATCGAACTCCGCACCTTGTGCGGGAAAACACCTAGTTATTTCAAAATTTATAGTATTTGATTTAAAATTTTAATCAATGTAACTTAATGATTTGTATTAATATTGTTTTTTTTGCTGAATATTGTATAAATATTGTTAGTGTCGCTATCTAGATTCATACCGCATAATATCAATGTTATTAACACAATTTATGTTACATGACAAGTTAGAAATTCTTGCAGGTTGTAAGCTAAGTTAAGCTTATACATAATTTCTCTAACTCAATTTATAATCCGTTGCCTAGAAAAAGTTGTAACAAAAAAACCATATTGATTACTGAACTATGAGATTATATTTTGAAAGCTAAAACGTTGAAGTATATCTAAAACATACTAGTTTTTATTAATTACCAATAAATTCAAAATTTGTACAAATATGAATGCTATCATCATCCTTAATTTAGTTCTCATTAATTTACCCTATCCTCATAAATTTATGTACACAAATTAAAACCGATAAATCTTAAACAAAATAAGCCAAAACTAATCAAAATCAAGAGATTTTTTTGAACAAAAATTATAAGAAAAAAGAAAACAGAGATAAAAAATCATATTATATAACATAGTAAAGATTGAGGGCCTCCACAACTTAATCTCTAGATCTAAAATTTTAGTCTACTGAAATTTGAAATTTTAATTTATTGAAACAAAGATATGATAAATGTATTTAATGCTATTGTTGCTGAAGTTTCAAACTCAATCAAGTGGATGACAAAATGAAAAAAGAATAACGAAAATCATCATCTTACGCCTTGCGCTTGAATGATTTTAAATATATAATTAATAAATTACTATAAATAAATCAAATTCTTAGATTTATATTATAATTATTATTTTCTAGATCATAATATTTTGTGATTTCAATTTTTTTTGTTCATGATTACATTTATCTTTTTAATTAATTTTTGCTGTTTTTAAATTACTCATAAATTCGTATATTCCTATATAGAAAAATAAAATAAAAATATATAAATTTTGAACTTTTTCTTGGAATGATAGCATGAAAGAATCTCATTATCTACCATATGAACACAGTTGGGAAATTAAGAAACTTACATGTGGTTCTTTTTATAGATGAATTATTTGGTTAAATTCAAAATGGATAGTTACAAGCAATATATAAGCAAAACCGGCATTACATATATTATAGAGAAGTAATTATCAGAATATATATATATAATTATATTTTAAAATTTAATAGTTAATAATTAGTTATAAAAGCCATATATTTTTATTTAAATATATTTAATATTGAGGACTATTAGAAAAGAAATTTTGAAGTTTTAGCATTAGAAAAAACCCCTGAAACTTTAATTATGAAATTTGCATTGAAAATGCAAAGAAGTCTATATAAATTTGTTAGTTAGTTTAATAATTGGGCTCGTTGGACTTACTATGTCAATAAAAACTGAATTAAAAAATAGTTTTGGTTAGTAAAAGTTACTGAAAAGTATTGTTAAATTTCCCTTTGCTACCTTTTTAGTGCATGATTTTTTTGTTTATGTAATAATTTGTGTTTTAGTAATTTTGTTTAATGTTTATGTGATTTATTTTTTAAATTAATTAAATTTCTTACAGAAAAAAAATCTAGTTTCGCTTTAATAATATAGTTATACAAAAAGAAAAAGCATATATAGAGAGAAATAAATATTCGTGATGTGACGTGGCAGTTCTAGTGGTGTTGATATTCTAATTATCATTAGCAAATTGATGGTCGAACCTGACCGTATTCTTGGATATATTCAACTGTAGCATCGGTCCACACACTGACCTCAGCTTTCCTAACTTTTAATTATATTTTATTTCCTAAACAACAAAACTATTAATTTTTGGTCTTATTAAAAACATAAGTATTAAGCACTGTTTAAACTCCGTGGATTCCTTAGCTAATATACAAAATATACAAATTTTGACTCTCCCTTGGAACGGGAATATGTAAAAACTCGCATTCATGGTGGTGACCAATTAATTTCAGAAAAAAAAGAAAAGCATTTTTGCAAAATATAAGGAAGATTTAAGTCCAAAATGAAATCAATCTCCATAAAATAAAGACCAGATTGTTTTTAACCAAAATATTGTATTTATTGTTTCCGTTTTTAAATTTGTGTTACAAAACCATTAGGCGGATTTAACAACCCCATTAACCAAAAAAAAAACGAAAAATCACAGAGACTATTACTATTACTACCCCAAAAAGGTAATTAAACTATGACTTTCCACTATACTAATACGGTAACCTCGTTATTATATTATTTAATTATATACATTTTGATTAAATTAGTGTGTCTAGGTACATAATATTCGCAGAGACGGGTCCTTAATTACTCTCAAGTCTATATAATCCCCACAAGAACAAAATTTCATTTCCAATTGAATTGGGAACAAGCATTTCTCTCAATCCCTTCCTCGTCACTCTCACGGGATCTCCATTGAAGCATCCCATAGCCTGAGAGAGAACCTTCAATGGCTTCCATGGCTGCCGTTCTCAGCAAAACCTCTTTCCTTTCTCAGCCACTCGCCAAATCTCTCAATTCCGATTTCCCCATCGCCGCCGCAACCGCTTCCGTTTCCTTCCCGTCGAAATCGCGAAGCCGTCGCGGAGGAATCCGGGCTGGGCTAATCGCGCCTGACGGCGGGAAGCTTGTGGAGCTTGTCGTGGATGAGCCACGGCGGCGGGAGAAGAAACACGAGGCGGCGGAGCTGCCGCGTGTAGAGCTCACAGCGATTGACCTGCAATGGATGCACGTCTTGAGCGAAGGCTGGGCAAGTCCACTCGGAGGTTTCATGAGAGAATCCGAGTTCCTCCAAACTCTTCATTTTAACTCGCTGCGTCTTGACGACGGCTCCGTCGTCAACATGTCGGTGCCTATCGTCCTCGCTATAGACGACGAGCAAAAGGCCCGAATCGGCGAGTCTAAACGCGTCGCACTTGTTGATTCCGACGGTAATCCCGTCGCTATCCTCAGCGAGTAAGCTTCTTCACATCCCAAAAATTGCTTCTTCACTCATCAATTGTTAAAACATCGGATTCATAATTTTTGGAAGAAAATGAGTTTAGTCAATGATATAGACTCATGATTGAACTAGGCTATAGATCTGATTCGTCTTTCGTTTGACACTGACCCAAAAGCTGAAGATTGCTTTGTGCATCACTGCAGAGTCTCAAAAGTTTATCTGTAGTCTCAAAATATGACTTTTCAAATCCAAGTTTCTTTGTCCTGTGATTACTCAATGATACAGATATCGTTCGTTTCTCAAAACTTGTTTCTGTTTGATCAGCATTGAGATCTACAAGCATCCCAAGGAAGAACGTATAGCCAGAACTTGGGGCACGACTGCTCCAGGTTTGCCTTACGTAGAAGAGGCGATAACCAACGCCGGAAACTGGCTAATCGGTGGTGATCTAGAGGTTCTTGAGCCAGTCAAGTACAACGACGGGCTTGACCGGTTCAGGCTTTCCCCTGCTGAGCTACGCAAAGAGCTAGAGAAGCGTAACGCGGATGCTGTCTTTGCTTTCCAGCTTAGGAACCCGGTTCACAACGGTCACGCGCTTCTTATGACTGATACTCGCAGGAGACTTCTTGAGATGGGATACAAAAACCCTATCCTATTGCTTCATCCGTTAGGAGGGTACACAAAGGCTGATGATGTTCCTCTAAGTTGGAGGATGAAGCAGCACGAGAAGGTAAAAGAAACAAGCTTATTTGATTGTGTGTATCTGATTGAGAGCAACAATGTTGAAATGCTAAATGGGTTTTTATGAATCTACAAAACAGGTGCTAGAGGACGGTGTTCTTGATCCAGAGACAACAGTGGTTTCGATCTTCCCTTCTCCTATGCATTACGCTGGTCCAACCGAAGTGCAGTGGCACGCGAAGGCTAGAATCAATGCTGGTGCTAACTTCTACATTGTGGGTCGTGATCCAGCCGGGATGGGTCATCCAGTAGAGAAACGTGATCTTTACGATGCTGATCATGGGAAGAAGGTACTAAGCATGGCACCAGGACTCGAACGGCTCAATATCCTTCCTTTCAGGGTAATATAAGAAACTCAATTAAAAAAAGATTCACACTTTTTGTTTCGTAATGTTGTCATCTCTGATTATCTTGTTTCTCAATATCGTTTCAACCACAGGTTGCTGCATATGACAAGACGCAAGGCAAGATGGCTTTCTTCGATCCATCGAGGCCTCAAGATTTCTTGTTCATCTCCGGCACTAAGGTAAAAATTTCACTAGTTCCTTACCAAAGACAAATCTTCCTACATTGTTAAAGATTCTTCATTGGTCTTAAAAAACATCTCTCTTCTTTGTGGATTTTTCGTTTTTCTTTTCAGATGCGTTCATTGGCCAAGAACAAAGAAAACCCTCCAGATGGATTCATGTGTCCAGGTGGATGGCAAGTTCTGGTTGATTACTATGACAGCTTGACTCCGGCTGGTAATGGGAGACTACCGGAAGTTGTTCCGGCTTAAGACAGTGACGAAGAAACTGTCTCTGCTTCGTTTTCAAATTGTGCTGTTTGTGACTCTGTTTTGTGGACCTATGACATGGCAACAGTCATTGTTGTATAGGAGAAGCCTTATATATATTTAATATATAATCTGGTCGGACCTTTTTTTTTTTCTTTCAAAATAAATACAGAAAGACTGTTTTTCCTTTACGAAAAGTTGTAATATTTGATACGACCCGTCCGATGAAAAAACTTGTACCATATGAAACGATTGTGTTTGTATTATATATGAAACTTTGCGATTAAATTTCAACAGAATTTAGTCAGCATTTGTAATAAAATTTGCAAATGCATTTAACTAGAAGCTAATTAACTCATGCATATATATGTGTGTCATTTATAAACAAGTGAAAAATTCATTTCAATCCCAATCCTTATTGTCACCAAATCACCAATCATATTATTTTGCATCGCATGCCATTTAATTACATTTATTACTAAATTTGAAAAATACTGTACAATAAAACTTCTATAAATTAATAATTTTTGCTGGTCCTAAGTTGTGCCAGTGTAAAAATTAACAAATTTCGATAAGATAATAAGATAATTTTTTTTGAAACTCCTATATAAAAATATAGTCCCAATAATTATATATTTAAACATATATAAATAATATAATATAATAAAATATAATTATATTATTGTTTCAAGTTTACTAAAAATTGTTTGATTTATTTTTTAAATTCACTGATATGATATTTTCTGAATAAATTTTACATTGTTGAAAATATTTTTTTGTTTTTTTAACAAATATTTTGGATTTGAACCAAAATATCTCTCTATAAATTAATAAAATATTAATTTCTCGATAAATTAATAATTATTAATTTATCAATTAATTAATAACTCTAAATTAATAAATTTTTGTAGTCCCATCATTATTAATTTATAGATGTCATCCGGTGCTTATTCACATCCCATCCTATAACACCAAAATTATAAAAGTCAGTATTCAATAATTAATTATAAAAAAACACTTGTTATCATTTGAGAGAAATATAAAAGGTTATGAGTGAATAAATGCATTTTTACCAAGAGAAGGGTCAAGACCACGGTTTTTGAGTTCACGGTACTTAGAGATGTTAAACGGGCTAGCCCAAACCCAAATAGCCCAACCCAACACGGGTTCAAATTATTTTCAGGTTTGGCGGGCTAGCCCGTGCGGGTTGCGGTCTGAAATTGCTTAGTCCAAGCCCAACTCGCATATTTTTATAAGTTAGCGGGCTGACCCGTGGGTTTTTTATAAACTTGTTTTAAATTCGATTTTTCTTTATAATTTAGTACAAATCTGTTTACTTATTAGTTTGTATACTTATTTTGTTGAAAATTTTATATAAAAGCATTTATAAAATCTAAAACCAACATTTCAATAAAAACACCAATCCCAAAAAACAATCGATAATCATAAGAAGACAATAAAAACCACAATCCAAAAGAACATTCCAACATATAAAAAAACCAAATATCCAAGAGATAAAAATGCAAAAACTAATAGATATCAAACTGGAATCTTCTTCAATTTTTATCTTCATCTCCATCTTCATCATCCACAATTGATTGAAAAGATGGTAGTGTCTCATCGTCAACATCTTCTTCTTCTACATATGTAAGTAAATTAAGTTAGTGAATTGAAAAAATAACAATAAAATATGTAAAATGTATAATAACGATTAGTTTACCGTTTTCGTATGCTTCAAATCTCTTTAACCAATTGCGACTGCATATTAAAGCTTAAACGTTTTTGAGAAGAAGTCGACTTCTGTATTTGTTCAAAACGCGAGCTCCAATGCTAAAAGAAGACTCTGAAGCTACTGTCGTGATAGATATACTAAGCAAATCGCAAGCCATTGAAGATAACTCACCATATTTTTCAAAGTTATCTTTCCAGTAATCGAGGATGTCCAAACTCTGATTGATCATGTCTAATGGCGGTTCTTCAAGATACATTTCCAGAGAAGACTTCCCACTAACGATAACACTTGATTTGCGAAATGTAAAAAAATCCTGAAAAGCATGGTGAAATCACGTTATTGACATATAGTGAAATCACGTTATCAATGAAACATGAACGAAAGAAAGAGATACATACTTGGTAATTTGAAAAACTCCCTTTTTGTTCTCCATCATCATTTTGTTGATCACGTTCTCGTCTGTGTAGATGGTGATGTCGTCTTTGGCTTTTTCTCATACGATTCAAACAACAAATGCAATTTACTAAGCAAGTGATCCATCTTTGCTTTACTGGAATTCGGATCAAGCTTTCCAAAACAAAACTCTGCAAGTGTGAGCTTCAACCGTGGATCAAAGACAGTAGTCATTGCAAAGACATCACTAACTTCTTCCCAATACTTATCAAACTTCTCTTTCATCGGTTTGACCATTTCTTTAACAATTGCATCCCTGCTTGATTCATTCACTTTCAGCCAATTTTGGATCTTCCAAACCTGCATGAAGTACAAGTTCGAAGTTGGATATGTGTAACCTAACATGAGCTTAGTGATCTCGTCAAATGGCTCCAAAAAATCGCAAATCTCCTTTGCTCTAACCCATTCTTCATTACTGGGTAAAAACATATAGTTTTTCCCATCAATCCTCTTAAGGTTAGTAAATGCAGCTTGGTACTTGATAGCCCTATCCAGCATGTGATAAGTCGAGTTCCATCTTGTTTGCACATCCAATATCAAACCAGCTTTGACATTTAAACCCACAGCATCGATGCATTTTGAAAACAACAGCTCACATGATTCAGAGGCAGTAACATATTTGATGCTCTCTCTAACTTTATGCAAAGAAACGCCAATAACTTTCAATCCATCTTGAACAATAAGGTTGAGTATGTGAGCTGACCATCTAACATGGAAAAACTGCCCTCCACACAACAAATCATCACGCAATAACAATTGTGATTTTACAATGCCTTGCATTGAATCATTGCTAGTGGCATTGTCTAATGTGAGGGAAAATACCTTTTTCTCAATTCCCCATTCTTTCCAAGACTGAAGAAGATCCATTGCTAAAGCCATACCTGGATCATTAAAAACAAAGAGCATGTTTGTAACTACTTCACAATCTCGGGTAACCCTAAACAAACATATTGTATACTGAATATGTACATGTATGAGGTGGTGGGAGAGCACGGAATGCCAAAATTTTGTTTCTCAGCTTCCAATTTCGGTCTACTTAATGTGCCGTGAGACACACATACCCTTCATGTGTTATTGCTGGCCATAAATCAGAGGTAAAACTAATCCTTCCAGGAAGACTAGCTAGTTCCATCTTCAAATTAGCTGTCTCATCCTCATAGAAGCGGTATACATCTGCTGCAGCTGTGTTGCGACTAATGAACTTAACATCAGCATTCAAGTATTTCCAAACTGCTCTAACTCTTTCATACTCCACGTAAGCAAATGGCAAATCATGTTGAATAATTGTCTTAGCTACCATCTCACGAAAAACTAAGTGATCAATCTTCCGTGCTTGTAGCTTAGCTTCTGTGTTGATCATCATATTCCCGATATCACCACTAGTTCTAGGCGTAAGAGAGCATCTCTTACTGTGCCTTCCTAAAGTGGCAGTACCGTTCTTATGGGATTGATGCTTGTATTCTTTCTTACAATGTTTGCACTGTGCTTTTTGTGAGCCATCCTCTTTTGTAATAACAACAAAATCATTCCACACAGCTGACCACTTCCTACTCTCCCTTTTCTTATCCGATGACTTTCCTTTGTCATCAACATCTGATTCACCATTCGATTCATCTTCAGAATCAGAATCAACAATCTTTTTCTTCTTCTTGTTCGGCTGACTTGATTCACCATCAAACACTTGTTGCTTCCTATTACGCACTTCATCTTGATTTCTCTTTCTCGATTGAGGAGTGAATTCTGTTTCAGCATCATCATCTTCAATATCAACCAGTTGTGGCTTTCTCTTATTCAGTTGAGACGACTTTCTTCTGTCCTCAACAAGTCTCGCTTTTGGAGTGTGTTCTGTTTCAGAATCATCCTCAACATCTTCCACTTGAATGAACCTTTTTTTACGAACTTTTCGTGGTTGTGATCCACCATCAGCATTCGCTCTTTCCTCTTCAGCGTTTAGAGAGTTAATCAATTTTTGCGACTCAAAGTCGACGGACCTCAAGCACTCATCATCTCCAGAATTCTGCCAATAATGAAATTACATGACGTTTATCAGTTAATTTGATTCTAAGGTGTAGTGGTCTATCACTTGATCAAATTAAAAATTAGATGAGCGAAACTTACTAGATTCATTGATCACGATTGTCACGTCTTTGAACGCTTTCAGCCTCTGACCCAAACCCTTAGTTGCTCAAACAGTCAAACTCTTGCTCAAACTCTCTGTCTCAGTCGCTCAAACTCTCTTGACTCAGTTGCACAAAGTCTTTAGGAATCACAGAATCAGCCGACTTGACTTAAGGCTTTAGTTAGAGATTTAGAGTTATTAATAGTAGGGTTTCACTTAAATGGTTAAACCGTTTAAGTTTGAGAGCATCTAGTTGGTGCAAAAGGTTTTAAAACCTTGGATTTTAATTCAATTTTTTGCAATGTTAAAAAAATTAATCAACTATTATGCACGTAAAGTAGCAGTTAGAACTTAAATGTTCTTCACTCTGTTACAAGTTTTGCTTTGACGTGAGTGGTATGAGAATTCTATCAGAAAGCAACTAAAATGTTCTACAAGGCTAATGTGGATGAAGACATAGGATGCAAATAGCTGTCTTAATACTGAACTAGTAAGTTGCACTATATTTCAAACGCTATCCACAATTCAGATTACTATCGTGACTAATCTCTAAACCTGAGCTTGGCTTGACTTTCAGTTTAAAATTCTCAAATCATAACAAATCCTCACGATTATTTAAACTTGTGTAAGACAGTAAGAGATAGATTGAGAATGAAACTTACCTGTTGTCCAGATTTGTCAACCTGTTGGCTCTTTGCATCACAGCAACATAAGCAGCCTGCTAAACACACAACCAATACAGAAATTATCTGTAAGTTCACCATTCCAGTTTCAAAGAAACAAACACTTCTAAGGTCAGGAGGCAGAACATGTTTTTAGCATAATGTTATACCATATTGAAGTCCTTTCTAGCGTCTTCATACTCTCCACCTGCCATGTAAGCCATTCCGCGGCGGTAGGGACCCTTCACATGACCAGGCTTTGCTTCTAGGATCTGTTTCAAAATTGGTTCACAAAAGGTCTCAGAAACCCTCAAGAATCAACAATCCTCAAGAGACTTTCTTTATTTGAACGTCACCTTATTGCATGTTTCTACAGACTTTCTCCACTCCCGTTTTAAGCAAGCACGCCGCAATATTCAGATGTAACATATTCTTCAGATATCAGCAGAGCAAGGATACAAGAGCTAGTTAATACTTGATACTATTATCAAACTCATAAAAGATCTTTAACGAGAGGCGTAATGACAAGATAAACTCACCCTTGCGTCACCAAACACATTTTCTTCCTCGTCATCTTGTGGGTTTACATGATTAAATTCACGGAGCACCTGGTTTTTGGTTCACCGCTCAGACACAATGAAACAAATGCTAATACTGGACTTCATAATACTGATAAAGGGAGGAAACTGAATTGGCTACCATTTCGTGAACTCTATTACCTTTTCGTACTTTTGTGAGCTCAAATTTTCCTTATTTGAACAGCCTGTTACCCTGAAGTTCAAAAGCAGACAAGAGCTATAGTGATACAATATATGAGTATAGGCTACATATAAATATATTAGCAGAACATTCGATCCATACCGTGCTTCTGATATTTTCTGCCTCATTCATGATGCTCTGGAAGTTCAACCCAGTCCAGTCCTGTGACAAGAATCTCTGGACACATAAGAAACAGAAGCTGTTTACAATTCCTATGGTAAGTATCAGCATTAGACCAACTTACTCTTGGTGTTTCGAAGCCAAGAAGTTCAATTTCCCACTGAACATGTGCACCTTCAGGAACGCCAGGCAGCCTATCAAGAGAGAAAACAATCAAAATGCGTTTATTTGTCCAACGAGAGTTTATAAGCTATCATGTTCAGTGAGATTTACACAACTACGAGTGTGACCTTGGAAATTTGTCATTTGCATAATCAGGAGGACATGTTACAAGAGTAATTTCTCAAGGTAGCATCAAACGAGTACACATTTCAAATCCCTCAAGCACCTGCCAATACGACAATCACAATCTTAAGCAACCTCATGCCTAGAAATATTATTTCATTTGAAAAAAGTAAATAACTCCACTAGGTTTTTCTATAAACGTCAAACTAACTGACCAGTCCTTCTCCTGAACTGAATTCCAACGGCTGATCATTATTATCAATCCTGCTATCGTAGAAGACAGTCTTGTCTTCATTAAGAAGCATGCCTTTGTAGTTAACGCTTAACCGACTATCTTGGAGAGCACAATCCATTGGAAACTCGCATAATAAGTTGGTGAAACGTTGCAGATCAGAATAGTGTAGGTGGACAAAACTAGATACACAGAAAACAGGAACTGGAGTCTAGCAGATGCCCCAACAAGAGATATAAGAATAAAAACATACCTCTTCCATCTTGAATTCGACGTTTTATGAGACGTCCATCTCCAAGTCCATCTCCAAGCATATCTCGCACCTTCAAAGCGAGATGAATGTCAATCACTCAGTCTCCCAATTCTTAAATGAGTAGAATCACATAAAAACGCAGGATTATACAAGTTTTGACTATACCTGAATGAAATGGAACAGTTCAAGCTCAAAATGAACTTCCTCAAGGTCTTGAACTATATACATCAAAGGAGACTCGATTAAGTACTGCTTGCGAACATATATCACTGCCTTCTCCTTCCAAACCATGCTTCATCATTGAAATGTCTTCTTCCAAGTAAAAAAGCTGCAAATGAGGAAGAAGAGTGAAATGAATCTCAACGGGTTTCTTTTCTTTTCTTTAAAGTGAAATATAAATCCAATTGCTCTCTCATGGATTCATATATATACATAGTATGTTATCAGACAGGAATCAAGATCAATAGAGATCCAATTGCTCTCTCATGGATTCACATATACATAGCTTTCCAAATCTCCAATGATAAAACTTGCAGGATAAAGATTTGATGTTAAACGAAGAAATTATGAAATTTTTTGAAAGGGATTTTATCGAACTTACCCGATTCACTGTCTGGTAATAGCAACGTCTTCGTTCATCTCAATAGTGGAGAGTCATCAGAATCAGGACGAAATCACATCTGAATCGCATGCATTTCGATGAAGTTTGCAGAAAGTGAGAAAATTCATGAATTTTGCGGTTTAGACCGCAGACCCGCGAACCCGTGACGGGTCACACCGCAAAACCCGAAATCCACACGGGTCAGACCCGCGAGACCTGCTACTTTTTGGATTAATATTTTCTAGCCCAAACCCGCCCCGCAATGGGCCTATTTGGATCGAACCCGCGGGCTACAGCCCATATTGACATCTCTAACGGTACTCTTGGCAAAGAGCACAACATTCACAAAAGCAATGAGTGAGACAATCCGAAGCTGGAGACTCCGGTAACCCAAATTTGCTTCGGATCTTGGTCCGATAAGTGCAGGACAATAAGCATGGTAAGGCGACCAGAAAACATATCAGTCCATAACTTATCCCACACCACATCTCCCACAACCTACATATATATATTCACGTCACATGAACACAATTTCACATTTTTTTTTTGTGAAATTGTGTTCATGTGACGTGAATATATATATACGTATGAGCTACCGGAACGTCCTTTGTCCGTCAGTAAAAAATGATTTACTGATAATTAACTCGATGAATATATTTTTTTTTTCTTTTTCTAACCAGTTTTGCCGTCTTCCATGCAGCTGCAAAGACCAGAAGTCCATTCGTTTTCTATTGTAAAGCGATGCTTGAAGCTTGTTGGTGTGAAATATGTTTAAGAAGGTTATATATGCGGTTGAATAGTGTCGCTTAGAGACACCACAAATCTTTAATTTATTTTAGAACTTTATTACACTTTCAAAAAAATCAGGAACATTATATTTGTAAAGAAATATCTTTAAACATAAAGAGAGGAATTGTTTGTTTTTATGTTCAAAGATTTTTCTTGCACTTTTTATTATCATCGCGCTTTAATAACACCGAGATCTTCTCGTCTTTGACAACGTAAAGACATCAAGCTCCGGAATCAGTACACTGGTAGGGAAGAGGCAGCGCAGGTGCAGATTTCTCTGTTGCAAAATCAAATCTGGTCAAGGACAGGTGGAGTTGCGGTTTTGTTCCATCCACAGCGAACCAGTAAATACTTTCCTTCAAAGACACGCTGGCCCAAGTGTATCCAAGTGTATCCAACGATTCTGAAATCATGATTGTTACTTGATGGCTTAATGCTAATCTTCTAGTAAAGTTTTACTTAATACTTATGTTATGTTTGTCTCTTGCAGATAATAAATAGAAAAGAATGGTATTACATTTTTCCTCCAAGCCTACTTGTCTACATATGTCCGTGTCTACCTAATCCCAGCGATGATATATACTCCATCGTCAACAGTGTTAGGCAACGAGTAAAAAGAAATGACAATTGACAAATATCTTAAAAACAGTGAATATTATTTGCTATTAGTTTCTCGTTTAACCAATGGTAGGGGCCAAAAAAGCCATTGAAGATGACTAATGGGTAATGCATATATATATATATATATATATATCGTCTACTTTCATATAATAAACCAATGGTAGATGGCTTTCGTTAGTAATAGTTCTTGAAATCATCAACGGTAAAGATATTATAAATCGTTAAGTTTTTTTATATGTGGGAGGTGTATCATATACACATTACAGTTGAGATCTTATAGAGAGAATCTCGTATAGATAGCTACTAGTGTAGATATATACAACAATATAAAGGTTACGTAGTACTTATACTATTACACCCCCTTAAGATGGACGGCCATTTGAAAGTCCAATCTTGTATGCAAACTCAGTGAATCGCAGGCGTGGAAGCGACTTAGTAAGAGCATCAGCAAGCTGATCAGATGAGCTGACATGAGACACCTGAAGCTCATTGTTCTGCACCATTTCGCGAACAGAGTGATATATAAGGGCAACATGTTTCATCCGTGAATGAAACACCGGATTAGCACATAAGTAGCTCCAATGTTGTCACAATATAACGTAGGAACTGAATCGGAGTGAAGATGAAGATCAGACATAAGGGACTTGATCCATTGTACTTCAGACGCAGCTTCAGAGACAGCTCTATATTCAGCTTCGGTAGAGGAGCGGGCAAATCCACGCTGCTTTTTCGAAGACCAAGAAATTGGTTGTTTGCCTAAATAGACAATGTAGGCGCATGTAGAGATGTAGTCATCCTTGTCTCCTGCCCAGTCAGCATCGGAAAAGCTATGAAGATTAAAAGGTGTGTTGACAGAGAAAAAGGTATGTTTGTCCGCTGTCCCAGCAAGATACCGCAGAACCCGTTTCATGGCTTCTTCGTGAGCTATAGTTGGGCGATGCATATACTGAGACAGTCGATTTACTGCAAAAGCTATGTCAGGCCTTGTGAGACCAAGATACTGCAGGTTACCAACTGTTGCACGATATGATGTCAGATCAGGGAGAGCCATGCCGTAATTGAGCGTCAATGATTGAGTGGAGCACATTGGCGTTGCAACTGGCTTTGCATTCGTCATAATAGTCTTATGTAGCAGGTCAGTAATGTATTTGGTCTGAGTAAGAAGCAGGCCCTTTGCAGAACATGTGGCCTCCATGCCAAGAATATGACAAGTTGCCAAGTTCCTTGAGAGAAAAACAATTAGCAAGGAGGGCAATGACTCGAGTCACTTCCGCTGCAACATTACCAGTCACTATAATGTCATCAACGTAGATGAGAATATAGATGAGAGAAGTACCAAGGCAGAGGACAAATAGTGAAGCATCCGCAAACGAATTAAGGAAGCCAGCACTAACGAGGAATGTCCGTAGTTCATTGTACCAGGCCCACAGAGCCTGTTTGAGGCCATATATTGCTTTGGAAAGGCGGCAAACATGATCAGGTCTGTCCTTGTAACGAAACCTGGGGGTTGTGTCATGTAGACTTCCTCCTTCAGATGTCCTTGAAGAAATGCGTTGTTTACATCAAGCTGCCGGATGCACTAGTTTTTACCAACAGCTTCCCCAAGAACGAGATGAATTGATGCATGCTTGATCACGGGGCTAAAGATTTCGTGAAAGTCTATGCCAGGACGTTGATGAAAACCTTTCGCCACCAGTCTGGATTTGTACCTGTCAACAGAACCATTAGGTAAACGTTTAATACGGTAAACCCATTTACAGCCAACAATATTCTTTGTCTGTGATCGTTCGACCAGATCCCATGTGTGTTGAACACCATGAGCATCGTACTCAGAACTCATAGATCTTCTCCACTTTTCATCTTTTAGAGCTTGAGTGTGATTTGGTGATTCGATCTTCTTGAGAATCGCCGTTAAACCACGTTTTGGGGGTGGTTTAGTAGTGATGTACTTGGAATTTGGTTTAATGATATCATTCATAGCCTTTGTTGTGACCGTGCTTTCCTTGACCACCGGAGCTGGGAGAGCAGCTGGAGGCTGTGGTGGCAGTTTCTCAGTAACAACGAGACTATCTGAAGGTGGAGAATGAGGAACTGCAGGTGATGAATCAGGTGGCGTTACCAAATCATCTACCTCTTGAGAATCTGTAGGTGCAGCAAAATCTTCAACAGTGTCAGGTGTTAGATCAGAACTTGGTGCAACAGTCGTGTTGTGTGGCCAATGAAATACAGGAGCACAAAAAACACTGGGTGAATCGGAAAGAGAAGACTCACAAGGAGAATATGAAGAAGACAATTTAGTGGTGAGTGTAGAGAAAGGAAATACCAATTCATGGAACTGCACATGGCGAGAGATATAGAGACGTGAGGTGGAGACATCAAGACAGATGAATGCACTTTGAGACAGAGAATATCCCAAGAAAACGCATGGCTTTGATTTGGGGCTGAATTTGTTGGTGTTATACGGTCGAATCCAGGGATAACATAAGCATCCAAACGTCCGCAGTTTCGAGTAATTTAGTTGAACACCAAATAAGAGCTGGAAAGGCGATGTGTGTGCCATAGTTGGTGTGATCATCCTGTTGATGAGGTACACGGCTGTGGTGAAATAATAAGACCAGTAGGTATGCGGAATACCTGCGTGTGAAAGCAAAGACATTCCAGTCTCGACAATATGACCATGTCGACGTTCTGCCATGCCGTTGTGTTCTGGAGTGTGAGGTGGAGTCGTGAGGTGTGCTATTCCGTTGTTAGCAAAGAACTGTCGTAGAGCTAAGAACTCCCCACCATTGTCCGAGTAGAGAGTCATAATCTTGGTCTTGAAGCGATTCTCCACCAACTGTTTGAACGCGATGAAAACCTGCGCCACTTGAGACTTTGCTTTTAGTGGATAAAGTCATGTATATCTGGTGAAATGATCCACAAAAATAATATAATATTTGAATCCGTCGACTGAAACCAGAGGTGAGGTCCAAACATCCGAAAAGAAAATTTAAAGAGGAGCAGAGGTTGTAAGAGAAGAGGAGGTAGAGAATGGTAGTTTGTGACTTTTATTACTTGAACAAGAGTTGCAGATAAAACTAGAAGACAAATCAGAAACTGATAGATTAAATTTAGAGATAGTAGAACGAAGAGTTTGATAATTTGGATGGCCTAGTTTAAAGTGCCAATCCGACAAGGAATGTTTAAAGCATGAAAAGGCTGAAAATGAATCTGGAAAGTCTTTCATTGGCCACTCATACACCCCTTCATTGGCTTGGCCTTTGAGTTCCGTTGCTCCCGAGTTGAGATCCCGCACCTGAAAATCATTTGGATAGAGTTGCACCATAACATTATTAGTCTTGCATAACTTGTTGACTGAGATAAGGTCTTTCTTCATCGATGGAACACAAAGTATATTGTCAAGTAGTAAATCACGAGTAGGAGAGGAGAGCTTAGTAGAGCCTGTATGAGTGATTGCTAAACCTATCCCATTCCCGATCATGACATTTTCACCACCATTGTATAGGGCGTGTAAGGACATGTTACTAAGATCCATGGCAATGTGATGAGACGCGCCACTATCAAGAAGCCAAGGTGAATTATCGACAGAGCTAGCAGTGGTGTGATGCGCCTGCTGCTGCCACTGTGGTGGTAGAAGCGGTAAATGAGGTGCTTGCCACTGCTGCGAAGGACCACGGTATTGAGGAGAAGATAATGGAGTTGAGCCCAAACTGCAGAGGAGACGGTGTGACAGAGTTGAATTGCGGACATCGGCGAGCACTGTGTCCCTGTGTTCCACAAATTTGACATTTGCCTTTGTAGCCACGACCATAACCACCTTTGCCACCGGAGCCACCACGGTAATTTCCTCTATCACGAGTAGAGGATTGTTGCTGGTTTGAACGATACTGCATAGCATTTGCTATTGCGAGAATGGACACATCGATAGTGGAGATTCAAGAGCATTTTCTCTGTTGATAAGTTTTCCATGAAGTTAATCAAGAGAAATTGGCTAATCCCGACCATTTACCATTTCAATGATGGCACGATACTCATCACCAAGACCTTCTGTGATGATATCCAAGAGATCTTCATGATCAAACGGTGATCCAAGGAGAGCCAATTGATCTGCTTTTCCCAAGATTTCCCTCATGTATTCATTCACAGATTTGCCGGCCTTGTTGATGGTTTTCAGATGTTGGCGGAGTTGTTTGATGTGACCACGTGATGGTCTGCCATAGGTCTGTCCGAGAATTTGCCAAATCTCTTTGGCAGTGGTTGCTCTAGCAACGATTGGTTGAACAGAGACCGAGAGGAAACCAATTAAACTGCTGTAGAGCAATTTGTCTTGGCGTTTCCAAGCTGCAAGATCCGGATTTGGAGTAGCTGCACCGGATTGAGTTGTCACTGTTGGTGCAGGGGAGAAGTCTTCATCGGCTATGAAGACATGAAGCTCATGTGCCTCAAGGAGAGATTGAATTTGCAGGCACCACGTGAGAAAATTTGTGGGTGTAAGCTTACTAATATTGGACATGTTTAAAGAGATGAATGTGCTATTTGGGTCCGATGTATTGAATATCGGAGCTGAATCGACAGAGGAAGAAGAGGTGGCGGAGATGGTTGCCATGAGGAAATGAATTAGGAGAGAAGGAAAAGTAAAAGAATGGAGAGAAAGAAAAAAAAACTTGAGAGAAACACGTACGAAGGAAGAAAGTGGAAAATTTTAAGGATTTAAGAAAGAGAGAAGAGACGATTTTAGTGTTAAGATTTAATCCTGCTTTAATACCATAAAGATATTAGACCATGTACAACGCGGTCTCTTAAAAAGAATAAGAGATGCTAAGATAATAAACCAATTAGTTAAATGAAAATTAGTCAAAAAGAGAAGAATCGATTCTTAGTTAAGTGTTTTAAAAATCGATTCTTACCAACTATGTGTCAATGTTTTATTGCATAGAGTTTTAGAACACATTTTTTTTCCTTTTTCTACGGATTCGATCCTCCTTCTCTCCCTTCATGCTTCTCCTCTCTGATGCGATTCAATGGTGATTTCTGCTTTGAATCGATGTTGGAAACCGCCGTAATCCCCAAAGAAGATGGCTCTCGTTTTGCCCTGTACATTTTGTACTTTAGCTTCAGCGACAAAATTTTCCGATCAATCGCCGATATTCTCTGACATTCCATCGAGGAGCTACGACGTGTGAGTTCTGAACTCCAGTAGAAGTTTTCAGTCCAACAGATAGAGGATCTTTGGTTGTTCCTTCTCACAAGGTCACTGTACACGATCGACAACAAGGAGTAGTTCACGAGTTTGAGTTTCCAGAGGTGAGATTTCATTGATTTTGATTCCTATTGTAGACTTTGAATTTCGGGAAAATGTTGCTGTTCTGGGTTTTCTGATTCGGGACACAATCATGATGAGATTATAATGATTATTCCTTCGTTTTATTAGCTTAGAAGTTGCTGCAATTAAGTAGTGTTCTATAACAACTGCAATGTATGATCTGGAGTGTCGAGATTCAAGTATTTTCTGGGTTTGGATGCTGGATTCATTGCTTTAATGAGAGTTGTGTTCATCTGGCTAATCTTAGATTCTACTTAGGTTCAGTTACTTTTTTTTTTTTTTTTCCATTTTCGATGATCCATTGCGCTCTGCATGTGGCTCTCTTGGTGTAGCTATTCTTACTTCTTTGTATAGTGTGGTTTACATGATCAAACTTTATCCCTTTTTTGTTGATTCATGAGAACATTACTCTTCCATTTGCTTGCAGGCATGGTACTATTCTCTTGACCCCGTTTCAGTAATTTTTGCTAAGACCTTTTACAGTGTGTAAATGTTTTCTTTGTCTTCTACATGTATCCCATAACTGAAATGATCGAAAAGGTGATGTATATGATAAGGATAAAGCCTATCACTGATTCACTAGTAGACTTATGTGAGAGCCATATGCATGAAGAAGATAGTCTAAATGTTCCTGTGACATTTACATGTTCAAAGTACTATTGGCACTGTGGTGTCTCGTCTACAGTTTGAGAAATGTTCCTTCTTGTGTTGGCAGGTTGCTGTACTAGTTGTGTCGTACGTGTAAAATCTGGAGAGCTGAGGCAGCCACAAGCATTGGGAATATCAGCAGAGCTGAAGTCTCACTCAGGTAATATCTCTTTACCTTATGCCTTAGGGAGTTATATTTGTGATTTGGCCAGAAACACATGTGGTCTGGAAACGAGAGAGACAATTTGTGATGATGATATAGTCTGCGGAAAAATGGGACAAGGTCTTATTTAATCAAAGAAAACAATGCGAAGCTTTAACCAATCACTCAATCAATTGTAATGTTGATTTTTCCTAATTGATCTATTCGATTGATATTATACGGTGTCAAAGACATATTCAATGATCAGCGTTTAGAGATTTTGTAATGTATTTTAGTGAATGCCAATCGTAATGCTGTATTCTCCTTCAAAATAAAAAATAAAATTTTTTTAAGAACTTCTAATGGGTTCTACCATCGAAGCAGAGAAAACAAAATTATCTTAATAAAAGCTCTTAAAGTTTTATAATTAAATATTAAATCGTAAGTTTATTGATATGTGGGAGGTGAACGTCGTCATCGCCATTGGTGAGCGACAGAGCTGGATCTGTTGTACTTTTCAGTTTTAACCTTTCCTCTTCGCTCGTTATTATTTATATATAGACAAATAGGCGAAAAGGAAATTTAACAAATACTAATGTTTTATTTTATAGAATTTGACCTTTCAAGATTATCCATTTAACATTACCGCGAAACATATCAAAAATTATTTAATATTTTTTCTGGCACACATCCTAATATCCAATGCAAAGCAAAAGAAAGAAATTAAACCATAATTATATATTCTTTCAAAACGCTCATTATGCATTTGAGAGAATGTTGAGATCTCTAGACGAAGCTTTGCGGTTCTTAACGGTGAAAAGAACTTTGTAAAGAACATAGGTTTGCATTGGTCCCAAGTGGTCATAGATCCTGGCGGAAGCATCTTCTCCTAATGGTGAGCTTTGTTGCCAAGAGAGAAAGGAAATCGTCACAGCTTGAATACATCATCAGATATTCCCTCTTACTTTGTCAAAGAGCAAATCCTTTCAAAGTCGTCAAGATGACGTAAAGGATTCTCAGCAGTTAGCATCATCATTATATTTTGTGTTCCTGACCATTGCAATTTTGCTACTCTTGATTTCAAAACTAGCATCACCGAAGGAAGGAGGAATAATACAGTTTCTATTTGTGTAGCCGTTTAGTGAGTGACAATCTCTAATGATTCTTGGGTGTCTTGGAACAGCTCTTTGTACCTTTTCTGCTTCAAACAACTCATGCTCAGTATGATCTTCTTCCATTGTATCTTGTTGCAAGTAGTACCTCAAAAAGTTCCCAAAAAGAAGATCTAGTAACCAAAACAAAAACAAAATCCTAGTTTTATATAAAACCAAAGACTCAATATTCACAAACAAGAACCAAAGGCAATGACGTCAATTGATAAATAGGTTTTCAATCCTGGTTTCAATGACTGAAACCACTTAAACCGAGTGTAGTATAGGGATGGGTCTAGTCAATCCATTGGGTCAAAATAGAGATATGGAGAATATGAGGTTCATGAAATAAGTTAGGAAGAATAAAAAGGGGGTTTTTGCAAGATTTAAACTAGCAACCTGATGTCACACATAAGCAAAACAAACAAAAAAATCTATAGACTACCAAGAAACGAGTACAAATAAATATAGAAGCTAAATGAATTAAAACTAAATAATAAAAGTAGACTCTAGAGATGAGATATTGGTATAGGGTTAATAAAGATCAATACTTGGTGTTTGAATGAACAACCTTTATGCTAATACTTTAGCATCACTCTCGTGGTAAGAATTATTTCGCTAAACATATAACCAAACCCAACCTAGCTCTCGCATAATATTAAAATGAATGGCAAGCAATGTCAATGTGTTAAGTAATGGATACTTATGGTTATGGGTAAAACAATGCTTGAAGCTTGTTGGTGTGAAATGTTTTAAGAAGGTTGGGTTTATATATATATGCGGTTGAATAGTGTCGCTTCGAGACACCAAAAATCTGTAATTTGTTTTAAAACATTGCACATTCAGGGATTGTATCCTAATTTAACATTCTATTCGGGACTTATATGTTTTTGCAAGTTGTATATAATAAATACCATAATAGCAAGAATTAGGGATTATATCCTAAGTTTAAAATACATATATACATTTCTAACAACTTTATTTAAACACGTTTTTGATCAGTATAATTAATAAAACCATAAAAACCTATATTATCAAAAGTCTTCTATATATTTTTTATTTACTAACACACAATTTTAGTGTAAATGAAATTTCTATTAAGTTGATTTATAAATAATATTTCGAATCTGCTGTTAAAAAGATATATTCGGTGCAAAGGTAAGAGAGGATGTTAAAACTCGATTAAAGAGAACACTTAATATTCACATTATATTTCACTTCTGGTGCAAAGGATCACATTTTTTCACATTAATGAAAGATGCAGAAGTTAAAAAGAATGCAAACAAATCAGATAATATTACAAAAATAATAATAATTAAAAAGGTGAGTTATGCATGGCCCATTTGTATCAATGGGCCTTCACAAGCCTACTAAATTTTGGAAACGAAAGGTCTCTCTCTGTCTCATTTCGAGAGAGAATTTAGGACGGTTTACTTCTCCGACAGTGTTTAGTCAAATCCTCGAAAGCTGAAATCGGTCTGTTTTGCCGGAGTTGTTAATACATTTTAGCTTCTGGTTTTGCTTTTCGAAAAAGCAAAGGTAGAAGTTTTTTGAGATCTTTCGACTTTTTTAATTTTTGTTAGCTATGAATTTATTATGTGTCCGTATACAAAAAAATGATTTGGTACGGAATGCAAAGACGGAAAGTTTGTGAATTTGAAAGTTCCTTTGACTCTTGATTTTGCATTTGTATAGTTTACGTGAATGCAAACTGTTTGTTTAAATGTCTGACAGAAAACTCTAATTGATTTGGCTGTTCATCAATGTATACGAGGTCACATTTTTTGCCTTTTGCCTCCAGATCTCTCGATTTGAGCCAAACTTGGCACATAATTAAGAAAGTCTGCCCCACATCCTAACCATGTTTCTATTCCAAAATCATTTTGTGTGATGACTTCACTGTCCTCCCCAACAACGTATATCGTTTCTTTGCTCTTAGCCTTGTATTCTCTGTTAAGCCACCTCTGACAAACCATGACGACTTTCTTCTCCTCACAAACTTGCATCTTCACAAATCAGAAGATCAGGGCTCAAATCCAATGCCAAGATCTTGCTCCACGACACCACTTGGGAGGTCTCATCAATCTTATTTGTCATCCATATCTCAGTCTTGGATGTAACATGTCGACTTAATAACACCGAGATCTTCTCGTCTTTGACAGCGGAAAGACCTGTCGCTTTGAAATCATTACACTGGAAGGGAAGAGGCAGCACAGGTGCAGCTTTCTATGTCGCAAAATCAAATCTGGCCAAGGGCAGGTGGAGTTGCGGTTTTGTCTCATCCTGGGCGAACAAGTAAGTACTTCCCTTCAAAGACACCCTGCTCCCGTTGTATCTAATGCTCCAGCCTGGAGGGACGATATCATCGAGAATCCTCCACGAATCACAGCTGAACTCGTAGATTTCATATGATAGCTCAAGACTTTGTTGCCTTCTTGGTAGTATCCAAGAACAAAGGCGCGGTTTTTCATGTCACGTTTGCTGCGTTGGAACCACCTGGTTTCACCAGAAAACGGGTTCCAAACCACGAATCTGGATAGGTCTTCGAGGGTGCATAACAAGAAGCCGTCACAGTGAAACACATGATACACATCGAATTGAGCTGAAGACAGCGGATCCACCAGGCTAAGCTCCGGTTTTACATCTACAGCTGGAACTGCTCCGTCAAGATTGACGATTGTCGGACAAATCCTGTACTCCTTCGTCACCTTCAGAACCAGAAACTGCTTCGCCGCTTTCTCAATGTGCTTTCTTGCGAATCCCCCATCATCGTTGAACAAACGGTTCCATCATTTACAGGTACATCCCAATCCTTTCAGATACGTAGCCGGAATGCGACATATAATCTCATTATCTACCAAATCCTTTAGAAGATCTCCGAGTTTCGACATCACCATTGGTGAGCGGCAGAGCTAGATATGAGGTTGCTTTTCAGTTTTAACCTTTTCCTCTTCGTCAATTATTATTACAGATAGATATAGACAAATAGGAAATTTAACAAATAATCTTTTGTTTGATCTTACAAAATTTGATTTTTCAAAATTATTCATTTACATTATCGCAAAAACATACCAAAATTTTTATTTACAAAAAATATTACCTTTTAACCCTAATTTTACATAATGTATTTTACATGTAAGAGCTGAACGTTTTTTTAATGCAAATCTTGGATTCCATTTAATAATTCTTGCAAATTTGAATGTTTCAAAGTTTCAGGGTGAAGAAATTGTTATCAATGTCATATGATTCCAGCTGAAGAAATGTCAGTCATCATTATTCAAATCAAATAAATCAATACATACTTTAAAATTTACAAACTATAAAGACAAAAGCAGAGCTTCTTCTTCTTCTCCTCCTCATGATCTCTTCTTCCATTTCAGGTAGCTAAAGAAGTGTTTGTCCGGCACCGGAACAGACTTCACTAACCATCCTATCGGCCACGACGCCGCCGCGATCGCCACACAGACTCCCCACTGTCCCCAGTTTAGCCTCTCCGTATTAGCAAACCTCTTGAGAAACTCAACCATCACAACCTGTAAAACCACAGTGACTAGTATAATCCCAATGAAGAGCCTGTTCTTGTGTATCCCTTTGAACACATTCTTCCTCTCGAGGCTCCTCGCGTTGAACTCGTTGAACACTTGACACAGCACAAAGGTGTTGAAGATCAAAGTGTTCTTCACTTTCTCCGTCACGTCGAATATCGACCTCCCTCGAAACTGAAGCACCAAGAGCACAGAGATCTGGTAAAACGCCTGAGCCAAGAGGTTTCTCCACATGACGTTTGTGATCAACGGAGCGATTCTGCCGATCGGTCTCTTCTTCATCAGATCGTTCGTCGGCTTCTCTGTAGCTAAAGCCAGAGCGCCGAGCGTGTCCATGATCAGATTCACCCAGAGCAGCTGAACCGCCGTCAAAGGAACTTCTCCGGCGGAGACAGCCGCGACGAAATTGATCACGAGAGCCGCGACGTTGACTGTGAGCTGGAACTGGATGAA